TGGGGGGGGCCAGGAAAAACGCGGACGCTGACGAGGCAAGCGAACCCGGACCGGACAGGGAGGGGGGGTAAGGAGGAGGGAGCAGCGCGCCACAAGCCCGGCCTAGTCTCCGCCCCTTATCTGCTGCCCCGCCCAATGAAGGAGGGAGAAAGGAGAGCCTTGCAGTAGAAAGGCGGGCAGACGACCCAATGGGAAGACTCGTTCCCTCGCAAAGGCGGGTAAGACCAACTTGCGTGCTGGTGTCCGCCTTAAAAGGCCGCCCTCTCAGCTCTAACAGCCAATAAAAGCTTCAGGAAGTGAGAGTGGGCGGGACATAAGGAAGATCGACTTGGAGAGAAACCAGTGATTCGCCGGGCGGGCTCCGTGAACGGTGGTGATAGGACGAGCTTAGGAAGGAGTGACAGGACAAGGACCAATTAGAATCTTGAGCATGCCGGGGCAAAGTCCGTTTAGTAGGAGAGTAAGAAATAGGCCGGAATGGGATAGGATCAAGCTATCTAAACCAATCAGGATTCAGGCGGGCAGTTAAGAAAGTTCTGATTGGTCAATAACTGAGACGATCCGGAACAGGATGCATATTGACATGAGCTCACAGCCAATTAGACGCCGAATAAAAGGCGAAGGCTGGAACTTGGAATGGGGAGAGGAGACCTGGCTTCCTCCTCAGATACTCAGGCCAATGAGGGGAAGAAAAAGCCCTGGCACCGCCTCTAGCTTGGCCAATGGTCGTTTGTGGGGCCGCCCATCGTGAGGAGGGAACAGGGGCTGTGCCAAAAGGAGTTCGTCGCCATGTTGGCCCTGCTCGGGAGACTTCCTTACGTCGTTAGGTTGTACACTCCAGCTGAGCCCTGCAGCTCTACAAGTGTCCCTGCCGAGGCGGGCGAGCGCCGCGTGTTTCGCCACACGGGATCGCTCCAGTTTTCACATCTCGCACCCGACACCCTCTCGAATCCCACCCCTGCAGGGGTGGGTGGGCGGCTCCCCCTGGCCGTGGGTGGAAGCCCTGCGGCGGCGGGCGGGACGAGAGCTTGGTGACGGCCCTCGAGAGCTCAGTCAGTTCTGAGCTCACCAATATGGAAGGCTTTCGGGAAACTCTAGCAAACGCCATTTTCTTAAGCTGTCCCGAACGCGCTAAGTCGAGGGCCCAGAACTCTTTGAGACTGACTAGAAAACTTCCGGGATCAAAGCTCTCCTAAACTACTCCCTTTTCACTTCGTTACTCGTAAACACCGCTTCAGCAGAAAGCACAGTAACCTAGTTACTTCCTTTTGCAATCACAAAGGTTCACGATTTTGCCCCAGGCACTTCAATCCTCGGCTTCCATTTTGCCTCCAAAAACCTTTAGCACTTACAGTGAATACTACTAGCTGAATTCTCCTTTAGACAGCTTAAAGCACTTTGAAGATAGAAACTGAGGTATCTGCTGCCTCTGAGGTGGCCTAGGAAAAAATAAGTGACAGCTCAGTTATCTGTGCTGGATGTCCCAGTTAGATAAGCATTTAGTACTACTTATGTCAAGCTCATAAGAAAAATATTGTCAGACATGGTGGCCCATACCTTTAATTCTAGCACTTGGAAGGCAAAAGCAGGAGGAACTCTGAATTCGAGGCCTACCTAGTCTAAATAATGAGCTCTATATGCAGAAAGGTCCTGTCTCAAAACAACAACAATGAAAATTAAGATAAAAAATTAACTATCAAGGCGTTGGTGGAACACGCCTTTAATCCCAGCACTCTGGAGACAGAGGCAGGCAGATCACTGTGATTTCGAGACCAGCCTAGTCTACAGAGAAACCCTGTATCGAAAAACAAAAATAACAACAAAAAATTAACTATCAGAAATATGTAGGGAAAAAAAAAGGTTGAACCTGGGAAATAGCATGCCCAAGAGCCCAAGATCACAAAGCTAATGAATTGGGTTTTTTTTTTTTTTTCTGTTTTGTTTTTGTTTTTTTAGTTATTCGAGACAGGGTTTCTCTGTGTAGCTTTGGAGCCTATCCTGGCACTTGCTCTGGAGACCAGGCT